CCCCCCTGGGGGGGGGGGGGGGGAAATTGATCTCTACAAAGAGCTGGAAACTGAAGAATACAGCAAGACCCAACAGAAGTTAGAAGATGGAATTGGAAAGAGACAACTAGATACTCCAGGCCATAGATCTCATTGCAGAGTTCAAGAAAACTAAACAAATAAACTGCTTGTTTTGGTTGCTGCATATAAATGGCTATGGGTGTACGAAAGAGAGACCGAGTTTGAGGGGGAGGGGGGGTGCCCATCACTTGCAAGGGAGATGAGGAGCTGCATTGTTGACTAGAAGAAGAATAGGTAGAGTTAGATGAAACCAGATCACAAGAGTGACGGTAGCATATGTATGTTTTCCAACAGGTTTCGATTTATCATCATCATAACCAGGGGAGGATTTACGTTGAACCATGGGGGTTATTCGTCGAAAAATTACACCATATATATAAAGATTAAAATATTAATTTACGTGTATATATATACTATTGAACCCCCTAAACATACATCAAAGGCGTAGCTCAGTGGCTTTGGGGGTTCAGGAATTTGCTCTATTGCACGCGAGGTCGCGTGTTCGAATCCGGGCAAAGGCATTTTTTTATCAGCTTATATTTTAGGAGTTTTAATTTTTTTAAAATAATAATAATGCAATCAGAAAATGATGTTTAGTTCCAAAAAATTAAAACGCTGATTGGGAATTTAGGATTTATTAGTTTAACCCCTAATTACAAAGTCAAATATTAAAAAATCCTTTTCTTCTTGATTCGATCCGTTTAATCCGACCCGTTTATATCCGATTCGACCCGTTTATTTGTGGATATTATTTACGTGATTAATTTTTTTTTGAACCCCCTTGATGAAAATCCTCCCTCTGCCACTGATCATAACCTGGTAGTCTGGTGAAACCCATGTTTCTCTTTTGAACGGGGGTGTAAAGTGCGTTTAGCTGTTTCTCAAGATGGCTCTGTTTGTGGAGGATTTTCCTAGAATTCTTTCTTAGATCCAGAAATATTCTTCACCGCCCTTGTCCTTTTCTTTTCTGGAACGAATAATGAGAATGGAAACAAATGAAAATGGATGAGAAAGAATACTTTGGAACTAAATTAAACCAAAATTAAAAGAACACCGGAACTAGACATGAGCTACAAGGTTCACATATTTGGTTTTTAATAACCTATATGTGATGGAATAGGTTATTTGGTTGGATTCAAGCTTTCTTGGATGATATGTTCTCCATACATTTTGGTGCTTTAGTGAAATTAAGATATCATGTCATAATTTTTGGTTGCTGTACATGACAATGGGTTCAATCCCTCCTCCTGGGAAGATAAGAAGCTGATTTAACACCCTAGTGTCTTGTTTGAAATATTTTCAGAATGTTGCCCTTGGTGTTGCTTAATGAAGTATATTGAGAGCTGAACTTCACAGCTGATAATTGGTTTAGTTTATTAGTTTCCCTGTGCAAGATGCTCCAGGTGCTACCAGTAGGCTGAACAATATTCTGTTCATTGGCTGTTACTTGCAGGATCGGGCTCTACTTATTTGTATGGTTTCTTTGACCAAGCATGGAAAGAGGGAATGACTCAAGAAGAAGCTGAGGTTAGTTTCATGTAGTTTGAATTTACAAGCTGTCTAATTTGTACGACATTGTTGGACCATCAAGATGGCTTCATCTTTATAGCTATGCGTTTATCTTCATCTGTCATGATTTAGAGTTTATAATGCAAGTATCTATTGAAAAAGTACTTGTTCAGAAGTAGAAAATTTCTTATTAATTTTGTACACAGCTTTCAAACCAATAAAATACTTTTGTTAGTAAAGAAGGGGCTTGCATGGTTTGGTTCACATATTGACACTACAACCAACCACCTTGGTCATTGAATAAGATCTTGAACTTGCATCTTTCCTATGGGCCCTGTTATTTAATTAGGTAAAGTTTTCTGAAGTTCTTTTCGATGGGATAGCTTTTTTGACTAGGCATAATAGACTCTTCTTTGTGGGCATGATGATGCTCTGATCAATCATCTGTATTGGTATTGCTTCTCTATTCACTAATCTGCTTTAGTGATAATTCTGAAGATTTAAGTTTGTTTCACCTTTTCTGCAGAAACTGGTGGTCACTGCAGTATCTCTTGCCATTGCACGAGATGGTGCTAGCGGTGGAGTTGTTCGGACTGTAACTGTGAGTTAATTAATCTGCTTTATGCTTGTTCAAGTGGCATAATATGATTCAATGAAATTTATTTGCTTACTGAGTCTCTAATAGCAAATTATTCAAGTTAAAATAGACAGTCTTCGCTTATAAGAAATAGAATAAAGAACTTGCCTTCCCACCTATTCCTTTTATCAAGCCCTAGGAACCTTTGATATACTTGTTGGTATTAGTAGTTGTAGGCTTGTAGCATCAACTCCATGAAACTCTGCTTCTTAATTTACCTACATGTTTATCACATTTCACTGTGTCCAAGAGCCCTTCGTTGTGCTTATATCTAAGCCTTGTAATTTTGGAGTGTGGATCAATTCTCGATTGTAAGAAACTAGTGTTATTTGTAGTGAACAAAATATTACTTCCACTCTAGGTTTTAAAGAATTTTCTCCCTGATACAGTGCTGTTTGTGTGCTGTATTGCTCATTTGAAAGTCCAGCATAATTTCAGCTTTTGTTAGGATTGGTGGAGTCTGTAATTTTTTTACTGGCTATTGTTTTTGCTTTGGAACACTTATTTAATAACGGTGATGTCCTGGATTTGCTTTGGAACACTTTAAGCAATATCCTCATCTTATTGAAAGAGGGGTCTCATGTCTCATTATATAAGCTTGTCTTTTTGAACAATTTTGATAACCAGATTAACAAAGATGGAGCTACAAGAAAGTTTTATCCCTGCGATTCCCTTCAACTTTGGCATGAAGAACTAGAGCCGGTGAACTCCCTGCTGGATGTTATGTCTGCATCAAGTCCTGTTCCAATGGTCAGTTGAAACTAGAGTCTCTTTTCCCCTATTAACATGCTGTAGAATTTTGTTAGCTGCTGCTGATATACATGTACTCTTATAGCGTGTTCTGGATCATTGTACTTGTCCCTTCTTTTAATCCTGCCCTGCAATGGGTTAAACATAGTTCTGAATTCTGACTGTTTCTGGTCCATATTATGTAAGATTCGCTTAATTCAGTTCTTCTAAAAAATTTGGGCTATGCATGTAGCCTATAGTGAGTGACCCATCAGAAATTTTATCAAAATAATTTTAATTTTCTTTTGTTTGATAGGTGTGTATGTAGTTTTATTAGTTTTTTTTGGTAATTAAATAAATAAAACTCGGTAGGAGTTGAGAGATTGAGTTCTAATTTATTATGAAAAAAGAACACTTGTATCTCAAAAAGGAAAACTATTACAAGCGGCTACCTCCTTACTTTCATACCCCCTTGTTTTTAACTGATAATGTGCGTTTAGTGCTTGAACCATCAAAGTGTATATATGCTCTGATGGTATCAAGTAGTGGTTCAAGAAAAACACTACTTAGTTACTCCTTGAAATTATTAGAGTATGTACATACTTTGATGACATCAAGGAAGAACAAACTGTGTTTAAGTGAAAAGACTGTTCAATTACTGCTTGATACCATTAAAATATATATACATACTCCAATTGTATCAAGGATGAAGAAGAAGTGATTCAGTGAATAGAACAAGGGGTAGTCCGATAAATAGTTTGAATTGTGGAGCCAATCAGGATAAATATATTGGGTTGGATCCAATTGGGATAAATATTTGTAACCTAAATATTTTAGGAAAAATTGTATGAAATAACAAACTATTAATTCAAATTAAATGTTATAGCCATAGTTTATTTTAATTGTAATTCACAGCAAACATCCCCCTTTTTTTGCCATATGATTCGATATACAAGTAGCCATTTTATACATGAATGGCAAATATAAATGGCTATATTTTCGTCCTATACACTTATAATTATACAAATACATATCTTATTATACAAATTACAACGTATAAATGAATTTATACAAAACTGAACAATTTGTATAAAACAGGTTGTTTGTAGCGAATTATACAAATCAAAAGCTCCATAGCAAACATAAAATTTGTTATGGAGTGCAATTATGCAAACTATAGTTATAACATACAAATATGATTTTTGTGTTTGTTATACGTGAAAGTTGCTCTATATTTTACCTAATGAGTTTACCCTATTTTGGTCCAAGCCCAAACAAACAATCCACTTATTTAACTAAATTTGTTTTGATCCAAATGTAGACTTTGGTCTTTCGATAACACACTAGAGTTGGTCTTTTGATTACACATGAGCCGTTTAGAAGTTGGCAAAGAAAGGCATCATATCCTAACAAAATGTGAAGGCTCAAATATAGATTTTTTTTAAAAAAGTAGTAATCAAAATAACATCTCAAAAAAAAAAAAAAAAAGACAAAAACTATATATAGCACACTAATTTAGTGGTACTATATAAGATCTATCAACGGATTAGGTTTAACGATCGTTACTATTGATGGAACTTATATAGTGCATAAAATTAGTGCGCTATATGAAGAAAATACATCGCAGTACACTCACTTTTTTTATTTGTTATTTACTTACATACACATATATAATATATTGCAGGACATTTCTCTCCTTTTTGATAGCTTTAATGTTCAGGTCTGTACATGCACATTAATTATTTTATGGAATTTTTCACCAACATAAATATTTGATAACTTAATCTATTAAAATTTGGATAGATAAGAAAAAATCACGTAATATTTTTGCTTTTGCTAAGAGTTTAAACTTACAATTTTTATAATTATATAATCCCACTTTATTGACTATTTAGGCATACCTTTCTTGTGCCAATATATAATATGACATTTCTCAGGCAAGGGAAAATACTGCTAATTGGGGTTTAAGGTCTTATTTCGATCTACCTACTTTTAAAGTCAAAATGTTGTAATACTACGTTATGTAACATTGTTATTTTGAGTTTTAATATCTACTTTTTTTTTTATATCGTTGTGTTTGGGCCAGCTTTTGCATATCTCGATTAATTTCATGAGATATCTGACATCTCCTACCAGCAACATGTATTAGGTAACTCTATCCATCAAGGTTAGGACAGATGAAAAGAATCACCTATTGTTTTTACAAGTTGTCACGTTATTTTTTGAAAGTCAAATTATATAAATTAGCCAATGTTTTTATTAAGACTTGTAACTTATACAATACACTTTTTGTATAGTTATTAAATTTTAATTTTAAAAATATTGAATTAATCTTATTTAAACTCCAAACACCAGTCAAATTAATTTTCAAAAAGTAAAACGCGACAACTATTTTAGAATAACGGAAGTAACATCTTTATACGGTTTTCATCTTGAGCTGTTATTTTGTATATTGGTATATCTAATGAATAACAATATCAAACTTTATGGTAGAAGATTAATATGGTGAGGCAAGATGTAACATATGGAGCACTAAACTTTTTATATTATTAAAGATGAGAATTATTACTATTTTGATAATATAAAAGTGAAGCATGCTAGGAATTTCACGCGTAATAATTTAGTTAGATGAATAATTTTTAAAAAAGACATAATTGCTTCTATCATTATTATTGTTAGTACTACTTAGTAACCAAAAAAGCAGCATCAAATAATTTCAAAATTAAGTTTAGTTACTTTGCTAAATAATTTCATATACTTGATTAATCTTTTGAGACATTTACTCTAAAAAAAAAATCTCATTTATTAAAAACTTGTGAGAAAACAGCATTTTAGTCAATAAGGATAAAATTTAGTCCTTATTAATAATGATAAGGGTACATTTAATCTTTTTTAACTATTAATAAATGACAAAATATTTTTTTTTTTAAAACTTGGGATATTTTCAAAGACCTCCCTCGAGGTTTTGCGCTATAACACTCATCTCCCTCATAGTTTACGACATTACGCCTACGTTCCTTACTTTAATATTTTTGTAATCATTCTTTTAACCTTTTTAAAATAAATATAAAATAATTATGATTTGATAAATTTGTCCCTTTTTATATTAATATTTTCATACTAATCCATTTATTAAAAAAAGACTTATTTAATAAATACATTAAAGATAAATCAATATGAAGAAATGAGTATCGATCTTTGTTTGGTAAAAAAAAATGTGTGTGTATATAATATATGTAATAGTATTAACTTATTTGTGTTGAGTTATTTTTAAAGTATTTATTAAATAACTCGTGTTTTTAAAAATATGAAGAAATTAATATAAAGTAGGACAAATTTGTCAAGTCATAATTGATTTATATTTATTCTAAATAGATTTAAAGAATGGTTACAAAAATCAAAATAAGGGAGTTAGGCATTACAATGTAAATCACAAGGAAAATGAGTATTATAGCAAAACCTGAAGAGAGATCTCTAAAATTATTTCGAAAAACTTCTAATTATGTATTCATAACCGACAATTATATTCCATTTTGCGTTGCATCAAAAAAAAAATTAGTATATATATAAAGTCATGGAAATGTTATGCGATTTCATAGAATATAATGTCAATTGCATTTAATTAAGATGCTGCCTAACTGATTTGATTTGATAGCATTTTCCAGGAATTTGCTCACTCATTCTTATCTCATTCAAACTTAATTTAATTAATTCTTATCATTTAAATTTGATATTTTAATTTCTTTAATTCAAGGTAAAATCTATCTGTAAAACTGCTTTTGTTCCAAAGTCAAATGATTATTTCTAAATGCTAATTTTGCATCTCGTGTAATTTCTAATGTGATTTCTCAATTTCTAAATATTACTTCCAATAAATGACTAATCAAAATTTGATTAATTATTAATATCGCTAGTTTTGTTATAAATAGCTCTACGAATGAATGAATCGGATCAATTTGAAAAATAAAAAGATTTGTATGAATTACGTTCCGTTATCACTTTGTGAGAACTTGTTAGGTATGAATATACTAAATAAACGTGACTTGATTGGTGCAATTAAATGATATCTTTCTTTCAAAAAGTGTGTTTTTTATCAATATATAAATAAAATATTTTATTGCTAATGAACAAGATAATTGAGAAATTGTCCATATGTAAAATCAGAATTATTGATATAAATCTTTTCCACCGAAAAGAAGAAAATTATTTTCAGGTAGAAGTGAAAGTGATGTAGACTATACAAGAATCAAAATCAATCTACTTTATAAAAAGAAGATATCAATGAATTTCTATGAAATGATTTCATGAGATTCAACCAAATACCAATTATGCATTCAACGTAACTTCAGTGGTATCAAATTTAATGTACCCCTCAAGGCACGATTCTAAGACCCTAAAGTTAGATTTCCAATTGTAGATTTTTGTTTAGGATGTCAATAATAAGCATAGTTGCTTACGTATTACAATATAGATGTCTTATATATTGTCTTTAGCAGAAGACAGACTTGATGAAAAAATATTAAAAAGAGAAAACCTAGCAAAAACAAGTCCTATCACCCCCACCCCACCCCCACCCCACACACAAGATCCCATTTAATTAGTGATGACATTTACCACGATGGAGCCACATACATAAAATATGAAATTTTAAAAAAAAATTCTCATATATATCTATCTATCTATCTATCTGAACAATTGAAAAAGTCTAGATATATCAAATTAAAAAGATTCAAAACTTCAAATGTACTCTTGCATGCGTAGCTTTTAACATATCACTCAAATCAAATCAAGTTTTCATGATAGAAAAATTGTTATCGATAACGTCTAAAACTTTTATAGACCAAAGGATTAACAAAGAACAAGTATATTTGGAATTTTTTTGTGTTTGCGCCACATATGCCAATTTTTTCAACATATAAAAGTAAGAATCAATTTTTACACTAATATAGAATAAATCAACACACTATTACTGCATTTGATAACTAATTAAACTATTACTATAATTGATATTTTAAAATACCGTTATTTCTAATTTTTTCTTTAAAAAACATAACCTATAAACTTTGGCTTATCTTGATTCTTTTCTTACTGTAAAGTCACTTTTAAGGGATCACTAGGAAGAAAAATGTTAAGTACATAACTTTTGTTGAATTATAAACCTCATAGACCTATGCCTTTCTAAGTAAAGTTATCATAAAATACACTTTTGGACAAATGTTTCTACCCCATTAATTTTTGTCATTGTCTCTTATGGACCATTATA